AAAAAAAAAAAAAAAAAGATGCAAAACATACAAGAAAAAATAGTCAAAGGACACAAAGTACCTCAAAAAATAAACACAAATGGTCATGAACACAGAGGAAATCTGTCTCAACAGGAATAAAAACAGAAATTCACAAGTTTGCTTTTGGAACATCAAAAACACTCTTTCGCAGGCAAGAGCACTGGGAAAGGCAGATTCCTGGTGTCCCCCGGAACAGACCCCTAGCCCTGTGAAAATGCGCACACCCTCCAACACACGCCACCCCGGTGCTCACCTTAAAAGACATAAATGGACAAGTGGGGGACACTATGTGCAAAAGAGGTGCTAAAACAGCAAACCTCAGTCTGGGCTGCATCTGTCCATACCACAGTGACTCCATGGCCACATCCAGCAGGGCCCTAAGCCTGGTAGAGGACAGGTGTACCCAGCGGTCACAACCCACTCACCCCCCGGCCGGCTGCCTCCTAAGCACCCATTTCCAACTATGCCCTTGTGATGTGCTCCTTGGCCAGGTATCCAAGGCTGCCGAGGAAGGCAGTGACAAGGCAAAGGGACCCACTGTATGCCCCCATGTGTTCATGCTGCAACTCTGCACAGCACATTGCTTAGGTCTGTAAGTTCTTACCAAGGGTTTCCGCCAGCTTGCTTCTCCAATAACAACCTCTTCTCGTCTTCAGAAAACTGTAAGTCCAGTTCAAAGGAGTTCGAGTCCAGGTCATGGATGTACTGCTCGATGTTGCTACCTGACCTCTGGGGCAGGCCAGCTTCCGACGCTGACAGGGAGTGTGAGGAGGACGATGAGGACACCTGCATGCAGCCAAACTGGCTCAGGAGATTGTCGTACTGCCGAGAAGAAGGGAAAGTGAGAACTGCACCTTCACTTGCCTCTACAGTCCTAAAACCCCAGCCCCTCAGGCCCAGGGAGCTCACACACAGCAAGGCGCAAGGTGGCAAGGTGGGCAGCCCTGATTCTCCTCCATGGGATGCCTAGCCACTGAACCAAGGTTCAATGGATCCTGCCTGGTCGGGCTCCTCTTCCCATGGCAATAGGCCAGAGAGGGGCTAAGCCTGAGACTTCCTATCCCGGAAGTGAAGACCTGGGCCCCATGAATGCTGGTGCTGCCCCCGAGAGGTGGGGGCTGGGATGCCTGCTGGGAAGAGAAGGGGCCCAAGGAGGCTTGGTGGCAGATCCACTGCAAAGGCTGGCAGGCAGGGCCTCTGCGCAGGTGCCCTTGTTGGGGGCACCTCATTGGGCCCCAGGGATCTTAGGGGTCTGAGTCTGTAGTGGTCGCTACATATTTTGATTCGACTAAACACACTTAATTATTTAAAAGACATTGCTTTTAATCTCAGCAAAGAGAAACAACTTAATGTAGACAACAGTGCCTGTAACTCCAAAGGAAATGACAAACTAGCGTTGACAACGGAAAACCACTCACTCATAAACATACCAAGTGAGCAGGGCCTGTGCACTCACACACTCCTGAGGCCAGCAAGGCCAGAGGGCCCCTGGGTAGGGGCAGCCACCTCCCCAGCTGCAGGCCCCACATCTGAGCTCTGCTGAGGCCAAGGACAAGGGGAAAGGGAAGGTGCCGCCAGCAATGGCACCACAGCAGCAGATGGGTAACAGTGCAGCACGTCCTTCCACATCCTCTGTGCCTCCAGAAGTGGGCCCTGGCTGCTGCCCCACAGAACTCAGCCTGCCTACAGCCCCGCGCAACCCTCCACACACGCAGAGCCCCCATGTGCTCGCACTCCTCCAGCTGCATGACAGCCCTGCACCACAGCCCTGCAGCCTCTTACCCAGCCAGGCTGGAGCAAGCTGCTTGCCAATGGGCAGGGGGGAAGCACCTGACACTGCTCACCCCTCCGCGCTGACTCCTCCGCAGGGTGTGGGCTTGCCCAGGTTGCTCTTTCAACGCTGTCCAGTGGCAATACCGCCCCAGCACTTGCAGGACCTCAGGAGAACAGCAGCCAACGAAGTACCTGCTCTCCTCCCGCCTTGACCCAAGGGCGGATACCACAGCCAACCCCTCCCCTCATGTGGGAGCCCTCTTCCTGCTGAAAGGGATACCCAGTGCCCATTCCCCAAGAAGGAGGGGGTGCAGCCTCACAGGGAGGGAGAAGGTACAGCCCTGAAGTCTCCTTCCATGCGTGACACCGTCTGCCAAGACTCACTGACTGTCCCCATGTGAGGTCTATCTGGCCTGGGAGCTCCCTGCCTGGACCCACTCCAAGGCTTACAAACCACACAGCTGTTCAGAGCTAAGGATGGGCCATCTAACAGCTGACTGCCAACACACGGAGCCCAGCTTCACAAATGGCAATGGAAGCAAGCAGCCCCAGCTCTTAGCAGGCAGAGGCACAGAGGCCTGCACAGGTATGCCAATGTGTGCACACATACACCCCCCACACTAAGACGTGAGATTGGAGATAACTGAAGCCTGTGTGGGCTCCTTCAGAGCCCAACTACTTCCCTGGGAAGAACGGAGGACAGAGCCCACGGAAGACATGACCATCAGCCAGTCGCCAGCACAACCTCTGCGGGAACAGCAGGCCCAGCAGGGACGGCACTGCAGCCCCGTGGCACCCGCCAACCATGACCAAAGACCGTGCAGGAGCAGCTGGGTGGCACAGAGGGTGGGGAGAGAGGGTCTGGGGGCGGGGAACAGAGGGTGGGGAGAGAGGGCCTTGGTGGGCACAAAGGGTGAAGAGCCAGAGCCTCAGGGGGTAGGGTGCAGAGGGTGGGGAAGGAGGGCCTTGCAGGGGGGGCACAGAGGATGGGGAGCCAGGGCCTCAGGGGGTACAAGAGGTGGGGAGCCAGCACCTCAGAGGGCACGGAGGGTTGGGAGACAGAGCCTTGGGGGTGGCACAGAGGATGGGGAGCCAAGGCCTGGGGGGGGCACAAATGGTAGGGAAGGCGGGCCTCAGAGGGGCACAGAGAATGGGGAGCCAGGGCCTCAGGGGGTACAAGAGGTGGAGAGCCAGCACCTCGGGGGGCATGGAGGGTTGGGAGGCAGAGCCTTGGGGGGGCACAGAGGATGGGGAGCCAAGGCCTCAGGGGGGTACAAAGGGTGGGGAGGGCGGGCCTCGGGGGGGCGCACAGAGGGTGGGGAGTCAGGGCTTTGGGTGGTACAGAGGGTGGGGAGGGAGGGCCTCAGGGGGGCACAGAGGGTGGGGAGTCAGGGCCTTGGGTGGCACAGAGGGTTGAGAGGGAGGGCCTCAGGGGGGCACAGAGGGTGGGGAGTCAGGGCCTTGGGTGGCACAGAGGGTTGAGAGGGAGGGCCTCAGGGGGGTACAGAGGGTGGGGAGGGAGGGCCTTGGGGATCCCAGGCCTCTGCATATATGGAAGCTGCAAATGGCCACGTCAGGCCATGCAAACTGCCCCCAAAGCCTGGCTCCCTTAGAGTTTGGGCTCAAAGGACATTGAGAGGATAAGAGGCGTCACACAGCAGGTAGGGGCATCTGGAAACTTCATCTCCACGAGGGGACACTAGCAAAAATTTAGCTGTGGCTAACTTTTAGATAAAATCTAAAATTCCCAGAGGGGTACAGTAACTCATGACTGAAATCCCAGTACTTTGGGAGGCCAAGGCAGATGGATCACTTGAGGTCAGGAGATCCAGACGAGCCTGGCCAACATGGTGAAACCCCATCTCTCCTAAAAATATAAAAATTAGCCAGGCATGGTGGTAAGCACCTGCAGTTCTAGCTACTCAGGAGGCTAAGGCACAAGAATCTCTTGAACCCAGAGAATCAGAGGTTGCAGTGAGCTGAGACTATGCCACTGCACTCCAGCCTGGGTGACAGAGCAAGAACCTGTCTCAAATAAGTAAGTAAGTAAATAAATAAAATCTAGAATTCCTCACAGTGCCTGTCAGAATAAGCCATGGCGACAGAAGTCAAACCAGAAAAATGGATCTCATAAAAACACTTAAATATGAGGGGGTCATGGTGGAGGTGGCAAGAGGAACTCCCGAGGAAACAAGGCTGAAAGTGGGCGACATGCCTGCCGCTCACAACATCCTCCATCTGTTGGGCACGTGGTCCACATTCTTCACAAGAAGCTTAGAGAGAAAAGCGTGCTGAAGACCCTACAGCTATGGTCAAGCTGAGAGACCAGCTGCCTCAGAGCCAGCGCTGTGCCCTCGCACTCGGCAGCTCCCGTGCCTACTCAGCACTGCAGTGGACGGTGCCAGTGTCCCTGCCAACGCCATGTCCCAAAAGTTCAAGCACGAGGCATGTGGGGGTTTCTATGGAAAGACAGGCAGCGTTCTAGAACACCTCGGACGCACAGTTGTACAGGCACCAAGCCAAGTGCAACCCAGCACTGGTGCTAGGGTGCTCAGTGTCCAGTTCTAGCAGCACCCTCTGGGTGGAAACTGACTAGAATGTTCAAAGCCACAGAAAAGAATGACCTACCCAGCGCCTCACCTGCCACTGCCTCATGGCAGCAGAGTACAACCAGCAACAGGCCTGGCACAGCAGCACAGATGTCCTCCCCTTTCAACCACAAATTACACGAGGGTCTGGTGCACGGGCAAGAAGCTCAGTGCACAGAGGACCCAGTGCCACCCGCCTCGCCCGCCATCCCAGCCAGCTTACATTGCCGTAGCAGTCCTCGTCGTCTTCTGACATGGCTGGCAGGTAAGCCGTGAGCTTTGGAGGCGTCTGCTGGTGCAGGTTCTCCCATGTGATGGACTCGAAGAATGGGTGTGCTTTAAGAGGTCCGTACCCTTCCATTTCCTCACAGCCTAGCCGCTTTGTGGCATCTAAAACCTTAATTAACAAACAAGACAAGTCACTGCCAGGGTGAAAACGTGATTCTGACCAAAGAAACCCAAACCTGGGAGCTGGGCACAGTGGCTCACGCCTGTAATCCCAGGCCCTTGGGAGGCTGAGGGAGGCAGATCACCTGAGGTCAGGAGTTCGAGACCAGCCTGGCCAACATGGTGTGAAAACCCATCTCTACTAAAAATACAAATACTTAGCCGGGCATGGTAGTGCATGTCTGTAGTCCCAGCTACTCAGGAGGCTGAGGGAGGAGAATCACTTGAACCCGGGAGGCGGAGGTTGCAGTGAGCCAAGATTGCACCACTGCACTCCAGCCTGGGCAACAAGAGTGAAACTCAATCTCCAAA